TGTGAGATACTGCGTCATGTTGTTTTCATTTTCTAAAAAGCAACGCCAATGAAACGGGACAGGATGGAGGGAGGTTAAAGGAGCCGGTGGATGAGCAGAACCTTGAATCAAGATTCTAATAAAGATGGCCACTTATGTCTAAAGTGTTTGTAACTTCTTAAGCTAAACAAAGTGGCGAGCAACGGTGATCAAGGTCAGTCTGAGTTCTAAGAACTTCACTGCTTGTCTTATTGCTAACTGAATCCCTGTTGAGTGTCCCTGGAATGCTGTTTACTGCAGTTCCAAACTGTGTAGGACAGACAAACTCCGATCAAACTTTCAAACTAGGCAGTGCTGATTAGATACGAAGCAAGATTCTGTTTCTGTGTTGACTATTTCTCTCTTAAAATTGTTTCAGAAACATATTTTAGTGTACTGTTTAGCTGTAATATGAGGTAATGTGTCATCAGGCGAGCTGCTATTGTTTCCTGCTACAGACAAGTCAAAACTGCGCAGCCAATCAGAGCAGCTCAACTCGCAGTATGTCACGTCCACTGATTCCGACTAACTGTTATGGCGGCGGCGAAAACGCCAAATTTGAGGCTTTAAACCGGTACTCCACTCACTTGGTGAAAGCAGCGCCTCTAATTTGACTGCCGGTAAATGTAAATTCAAACCACAGATCTTTTCTTTCACTGTTTTGTTGATTATAAATGTAAAAAAATAGTAAATTGGCTTTTTTTTTATTGTTTGATGTGCAAAATACAATGCCAAAATGCTCCTAGGCATAGTAGCACAAGACATTTTTACAGTGCTTGTTTCACCCACCAGAGGGTGTGGTCATTCCGAAGACAAGAAAGTGACGTATGGCTGCTCTCATCTATTGATGGCTCAAACAAACACAAGATGTTCAGGAGGCCGCTGTTTGTGTCCTGTGTGTAACCAAAAGTAAATAATTTCTTTTAAGCAACATAAATAGATTAACTTATATAATGTACTAATGTTAACTTAGGTCAGGTATGTCACTTTTCATAGAACCAACCAAGTAGTTTTTGTGCCTAAACCACAGGTCAACAATCCTTACAATCAAAATTTGATGGTTTGATTTAATGCTAATTTTTAGCCACAGATCAAGCAAAGGTCAGCAGCATTCATGGTGAAAGCAAACAAATTATTACACACTATTGAATTCGCTATTGTCCTCTGAGACTCTGTTTCGATTTGGAATCCACAGCTAGCCTAACTTGGGAGACTCAAGACTAGTAACCATTGAGGTTCGACAAAATATAGAAGAAAAGGTCGTAATGTATGACGTATATTTTAGTTGAGGAAATTCACATTCATTTTAGGCCGATAAACAAAAATGTTAAAAAATAACTATTCTATTCTTTTATAATTTGTCACAGGGCACTACTGGAGAGGTGCTCAAGAGCAGCATATGGCTCCGGAGCCGCAGGTTGCCTACATCTGGCCTAAACCTATCCAAATTGCGACTGCTTCACAACTTTAACCATTTAAGCATTATTTTGAAAGTTTTACTAGACGTTGCAAGCGCAGAGGCCAGTTCTTAGAAATTACACTAGACGGGTACTTACAGTGTCATACTGTGTGTTGAAGCGGAGGGCCACTGATCAAGCTGTATTATTTGATGAGCTGGGAGTGAAAACACTAGAACTTTGATTCTCTGCCCAAACCCGATTGGACGTGACTCAACCCACTGGGTTCAGAGAGAATTTGATTTAAAAATACATATATATTTAATATTTTATTAATGATGTATGCTATAATTAATAATACATTTGTTATTAGTTTTGATAATAATTTGCACTGTATTATATGCACAATGTAATCTACTAGCTTGTAATAAACTATTTAATTAATTTTTTTAAGGCGAGATGAGGGTTCAGGTCAGGTTCGCGCCAAAAACTGTGGTTCGGGCTTGCACAGACTTTTTTGGGGCTCAGGCTGGCCCTGATTTTCTTGGGCCCGATCAAATTGAGACCTCTACAGAACAGCAAAGTTGCGGCCTTATAAACTGAAACTGATCTGAGGGAAGCTAAAGCAGCTAAAGCGAACTGGGATCTTTGTGGGCTTGTCCCTTTAGCAACACCTTTCACATTATACAGTCATTCGAGCAGGTGTTATTATACAAATGTTAAACAATACTGCGATTTTTCTGGTGAGGGCTGTCTCATTTGCCAGCTTCAAGCCCATGTGTTACATGGCGTCACCATCTGAACCACCAGGACACCCCAGTGGGTGGCTTTTTGCATTATCAGTCACTGTATTTTGTTTGAAGGCCCCCTTTTGTGCTACAGGTCAATCAGGCAGGAGGGGAATTACAATTACCACAGTAATGGCCCCGGGGAAGAATTGTACAGCTAATTTGCTGTAGTATTGATTATCTGAAGACCAACATATGTAAGTGCCAAAGCTGGTCTAAGATTTGATAGCAAAAAGATCTCTCTCTCTCTCTCTCTCTCTCTCTCTCTCCCTCTCCATTAGCCACTGATAGATCCCAGGGACACAACAACCAACACACTCTGTTTTATCTCAGCCTCATCCTGCCACAGTGCACAGAATCCACATTTCCAGCTCTATATGCCCCGAAACTTTTGTCTGTTGTACCCTCCCAACATACACACACACACACACACACACACACACACTCATCAATGTGTATGAACTCGAGGCACTTAACCTACATTGTACAGATGCCAATTATTACCTCAGATGTATACGTCACCTCGTCACCTCCGCATCCTGGAGACTATCATTTGCCATTTGACAATCTGACAATTTACATCCACTCGCACACACCCATTCTGCTCGACCAGTGGCATTCACTGTATCACTTTCATGCACCATTTCCCATCAGGATGATCGTGACAGCCCTCACATTATACCCTTTGGAGCTGTGAAGGCAACAGCCATCACCCTCATCCACATTTTGACGCACTTGGGATGATTTATCGTTAAATCATACGATAAGAAGAGCTCAGTAGAAAGAATATTATGTACAGCCCAGATAACCCTCTCCAAAATATAGTGGCAGTTATTGTGTGTGCCTCTGTGTGCGCTCCACTCGCACGTGCCAACTGGGTGGGTTAATTGGCTGCTGCCCACCTGGCAGTCTGTGAGCCTCTTATTGGCTCTCTGATACACACACACACACACACACACACACACACACACACAGAAGAATCCTGGTACACTCCTGCCCTTAGGGCTGATGTATTGAACTTCTGAACCCAGCAAGAGAATGTTTAAGCCTACATCTACAAAAAGTTGGGTGTAATGCAATGTTTCCCAACCTTCTATCACTAAGTTAACTGATTAAGTGACATATTTTATGGATATTTCATATTATATGTAATGTATAACAATAACAGTAGAGAACAACTGATAAACTGTACAATAAAGCCCCGCCAATTCAAGCAAAAAGCGAGGAAATCTGAAAGGAAATGGCGC